CCTAGGTGCCCCAGTCATTGTGGGTCTCAGCCTCAGTTTCCCTATTTATAACAGGATAATATCTGCTTTTCAAGATTGTTGGGGAAAGTAAGCGAAAATATATACATAAGGTACATAAATTGCTTTTTCACTAATGTACATAGTAGGCACTCAATAAATGTTAGATCTTTCATTTATAGTATATCCTCCCATCATTCTCCTTTTTCCTTAAGAGAATGTTGCCGTTGAGAAGGTACAGCCTTCAGTTCCGGAGCTAGTTCTAGGTACTGAGAACATAGCAGTGAACAAAACAGATCAAGTCCCTGCTCCCATGGAGCTCAGGTAGGAGAAACAGACATTTAAATATCTTTACTTAAATAAAAATAAAAAGAACGTCAAGCAGTACCGCCACGCTCTAAGGAGCAAAACAAAGCAGGAAAGGGGTAAGGAGTCATGTTATTTTAAGTAGTGTGGTCAGAGAGGACAACTCCAAGGAAGCAGTATTTGAGCAGAAATAAGTGAGGCAGCAAGCCATGGAGATCCCTGGAGGTTAAGGAAATCGCAAATGCAGATTGCCATGGCAACATGGTTGGTGGGTTCAGAGGTCAGCACGCTGGCTTGTGTGGAGGGAGTGAAGGAGGGGGAATAGCTGGAAGTGAGGTGAGGGAAGGAGGAGAGTAGATCAGGCACACCACGGTGAGGACTTTGGCTTCTCATCTGAGGTGGGAGCCATGGGGGGAGTTTGAGCAGAGGAGGGACCTGAGACACGATCCGAGTTAGATTTTTTTGGTGAAGATTTTTTTTATTTATTATTTATTTACTTGACGGACAGTGGGAGAGGGAACACAAGCAGGGGGAGCGGGAGAGGGAGAAGCAGGGAGCCCGATGCGGGGCTCGATCCCAGGACCCTGGGATCATGACCCAAGCCAAAGGCAGACGCTTAACCACTGAGCCACCCAGGCGCCCCAAAGATGTGAGTTAGATTTTAACAGAATCTTGGGCTCGTGTGCGGGGAAATAAGACTGTAGGGAACCAAGATGAGGAAAGAGGACCAAGGAGGCAGCCAGTGCAGTAAGTGAGAGATGGTGGACCAGGATGATGGCAGAGAAGGTGGTGAGAAGTGGTCAGATTCTGTGGATACTTTAAAGTAGTGCCCAGAAGGGTTGGCTGACAGATTGGCCATTGAACGTGAGAGAAAGAGAGGCGTCAAGGATGACCCCAAAGTTTTTGGCCTCAGTGCCTGGAAATAGGGAGTTGCCATCAACTGAGATCAGGAAAATAGGGAAGGAGGGCTGAGAGAGAAAATCCAGAGTTCCATTTTGAGCGTATTCAAGTTTGAGTTATGTGTTGGACATTGATTTGGGATGTCAAGAGGGAAGTTGGATGCAATAATCAAACCTTTGGAAAACAATTTGAACACAGAGAAGCCAATTCGTAAGTCATCAAAAGAAGAAGGGGAAGAAACTGACTAAGCATGGCTTGAACTTTCCAAAAGAGGACTACAACTTCTTTTTAAAGAAAAATGGGAGGAAGTAAACAACAAATATGACTTCAAGATGTGTGTGGCAAACTACCAAACCTAGGATTGAGTAGCAAACTTGAAATTCGTTCTTAGAAAAAGATTCAGACCTGGTGCTTTGGAAACAAGGAAATCAATGCGTTCAAAGAACAAACAAAATTAAGAACAGAAAAGGGGAAATTACAACAAACAAAAAGCAAGATTATTTTTAATGACCAAGTTCCACAGAAATACATTTGAGGGGCATGTGTGTGGCTCAGTCGGTTGAGAGTCTGACTCTTGCTTTCGGCTCGGGTCATGATCTCTGGGTCCTGGGATCGGGCCTTCATCGGACTCCATGCTCAGTGGGGAGTCTGCTTGAGGATTCTTCTCCTCCCTCTGTCCCTCCCCCCACTCACGCGCACTCTCTCTAAAATAAATACATTTTTTTTAAAAAAAGCATTACATTTGAAAGCTTCCATGAAATTGATTTCTTCTTTAAAAAAAAAAAAAGTAAGGCTGATGCAGTAATAAATGAAAATAAATTTTAAAAAAACCACAAAAGACTTTTTATAAATGTATCGAAGAAGAGCTCTCCTAAATGGCACTGGCCCTAATGGATTAACAACAGGATTTCCCCCAGCTGTTCATAAAGCTCTGTAAATTGTCCCAGGACATAATTCAGTCTACAAGGGAGAATTGGTCTTCATAACTCATGCATGTCAATTCTGAATAAAACCCCAGGACTAAAATATGTATTGGTGAGGACCTACTATGTGTCCCTATACCAGAAATAGAAAGAAGAGATATCGGGGCACCTGGGTAGCTCAGTCAGTTAAGCATCTGCCTTTGGCTCAGGTCATGATCCCAGGGTCCTGGGATTGAGCCCTGTGTTGGGCTCCTTGCTCAGCAGGGAACCTGCTTCTCCCTCTCTCTCTCCCTGCCACTCCCCCTGCTTCTGTTCATGCTTTCTCTCTCTCTGTCAAATAAATAAAATCTTTTTTTTTTTTTTAAAGAAGAGATAGCAAGAAAGAGATCTTCATCACTGGGGAGCTCACAGTCTAGTTGGAAAACAGGATGTAGACGGATAAAGATAGTTTTGTTATTTCTAAGGCCTGGGAATGGGTGGAGAAGAAATAAAAATAAAAATGGCACAGATGTTGCCCATGGGGAATTTACAGCGTACCTGGGAACTTGTGTTCCAGAAACTTAACCCAGAGAAGAGAACACTACTCCCTCCCTCGGAAGGGAATGAATCAGAGAAGACTCCCTGGAGAAAGTGTCATTCGAGCAAGGCAAGGAAGGAAGATTTCAGAGATAAGAGCATGAGCACCAGAGTCAAGTGACCATGGGATCAGATCTCAGTTCTATAATTTCTTTGCTGTGTGATCTTGGGCAAATGACCTCCCTTCTCTGGGCCTCGTCTTATAAAAGGAAGCGTCTCCCCTTACTTCCCTGTGTTGGGGTAGGACTTATCTTAAAGGAGAAATTCTATGGAAGATGCAGTCCTGTAGTAATGACCCTACATTCAGGTGCCACTACTATGTGACTTCAAGATGTGAGCGGGTGAGATCCTCGAGAAGCCCTGTCTCGTAAAACGTCCTGCAGTGATGGAAAGGTTCTGTATCTGCACTGCCCTGTATGGTAGCTGCGAGCGACACTGGGCTATTGAGCTCCGAACTAGCAGCTGGTGCAACTGAGGACCTCAATTTTTTACTTGAATTCATTTGCATCTGAAGAGGAACCGACAGCTGGTGATTACCAGATAGGGTGGCACCAATCCGAAGGGCATCTTAGGCAGTGGCACCAGCTTGAGAAAAGGCCTAGAGGCGTGAAAATAATACAGCCCAGAGGATCTGTCCTGGTCTCCTGTGGCAGCTGTAACAAGGTGACCACAGACTTAGCGACTCAGAACAGTACAGATTTATTCCATTAAAATTTTGGAGGTCAGGCATCTACAATCAAGGTGTCAGCAGACCCCTTCTGGGGCTGCATTCCTTAGCCGGTGGCCCCTTACTCCCATCACTCTGATAGCTGCTTCCACTGTCAAATCTCCTGCTCCTGACTCTTATCCTCCTGCTTCCCTCTTATAAGGACCCTTGTGATTACCTTGGGCCGCCCCCCCCCCCAGATAATCTAGGATCCTCTTCCCACCTCAAGATCCTTAATCACAACTGCCAAGTTCCCTTTGCCATGTAAGGTCACATATTCCCAGGTGCAGGGGATTTGGATGTGGACCTCATTAGGGGGCCATTATTCTGTCCGCCACAACGGTCTGCACAGCTAGAACCTAAGTGCGTCCGGTGGCAGAGAGAAGCCTCGACTACCAAGCTAAGGAGCTATAGGACATAGGCTTTCCTTCAAAACAGAGCCATGATCTGTCACCTTCTCACCTGCCTCTGCTAGTACCCTGACCCAAGTGAACATCACTTCTTGCTCGGACCATGGCAGTAGTCTCTCTGCTAAAGCAGAAGATCCTCATGTCCCTCCCTCCCCCACCCCCATAGTCTAGTCCCCGCCAGCAACTAGAGGGATCCTATTAAAATCTAAGTCAGATCAAGACACTTCTCTGGGGTGCCTGGGTGGCTCAGTCGTTAAGCATCTGCCTTCGGCTCAGGTCATGGTCCCAGGGTCCTGGGATCGAGCCCCGTGTCGGGCTCCTTGCTCAGCAGGAAGCCTGCTTCTCCCTCTCCCACTCCCCCTGCTCGTGTTCCCTCTCTCGCTGTGTCTCTCTCTGTCAAATAAATAAATAAAATCTTTTTTTTTTTAAAAAAGACATTTCTCTGCTCAGAATAGGGTTGCCTGATTTAGGAAAAAAGAAATTTACGGAATGCTCACTTGAATTCGAATTTGAATTTCAGATAAACAACAAATAATTTTTATTTCTTAATTTTTTTGGATTTTATTTTTTTAAGATGTCTATTATTTATTTGAGAGAGAGCCGTGGGGAGGGGCAAAGGGAGAGGGAGAGAGAGTCTTAAGCAAACTCCACGCTGAGCATAGAGCCTGGCTCAGGGCCTGATCCCATGACCCTGAGATCACGACCTGAGCAGAAACCCAGAGTTGGACGCTTAACTGACTGTGCCACCCAGACACCCGTAAAGATTTTATTTTTAAGTCATCTCTATACCCAGTGTGGGGCTCGAACTCACAACCCTGAGACCAAGAGTCACAAGCTTTACAGACTGAGCCAGCCAGGCACCCCCAACAACAAATAATTTTTTTTTAAAGATTTTATTTGTTTATTTGACAGAGAGAGAGACAGCGAGAGAGGGAACACAAGCAGGGGGAGTGGGAGAGGGAGAAGCAGGCTTCCCGCTGAGCAGGGAGCCCGATGCGGGGCTCGATCCCAGGACCGTGGGATCATGACCTGAGCCGAAGGCAGACGCTAAACGACTGAGCCACCCAGGCGCCCCAACAAATAATTTTTTGAACTATGTTTCAAATATTGCATGGGACATACTCATGCTAAAAAAAAAAAAAAAAAAGTTTTCTTGTTGTTTATCTGAAACCCAAATTTAATTTGGTTTTGTATATTTTATCTGATAACAGTAGCTCAGAACACTGCCACGGATCTCCACAAACACTTGCTATGGCCTGGAAGGCTTTCAAATCCAGCCCCCCACTACCTCTCTCCCTTTGTCTCACTCTACTTTCCCTCTCGCCCCCTCTGCTTCAGCCCCATTGGCCTCTTCACTCTTCCTGAAATGTGCCAAGCATATTGTGCCTCAGGGCCTTTGTACTTGCTGCTCCCTGTGCTTGACATGCTTTTCTGCCAGATTTAAGCATGACTCCTTCCTCCCTTCCTCAGGTCTTGGCTCAAATATCACCTCACCCAATGGGCCTTGCCTAGCTTACCTAAATCCCTGCCCCACTCAGTCTCTTTGTCCCCTTTAGGTTGGCACTTGTCACCACTTGATATATTCCATATTTCTTTTTCCTTTGCTTATTGCCTGTTTTCCTCCAATAGAATGTCAGTTTCCTGCCGGCAGGGATTTGTGTCTGTTTTGGTCACTGCTACTTCCCCAGTGCCTATAATAGGGCCTTACACATAGCAGGTGCGTAACGAATGCCTGTTGAATGAATAAAGAAAGCAATGATATCATTGAGCTGCTGGATCCAGCTATGCCTGAAGCCAGCCTTGCGAAATCGGACAGACGCACACAAACCAGTTTCCTTCTAGCCTACACTCCCATCTCCGAGACTAGATCATGGCTGGTGGATTTCTGGCTGACTGCATTTTCATCCTTGCTCTGTGACTCCTTCAGGGCCTGGCGACAGGCGGCTGGCAGTGACCTTCGCAGCTGAGTCCTCCCGAAATACAAGAAGAGCACAGGATTGAGGCAGCTGTGAGCCAGAGCGAGGCCGTTGACCAGCGGTTCAGCCCGCAGGGCCCGGGCCAGGAGCGCGGAGTGCGGGGCAGCCGCGGTGATTACCAGCCCCAGCAGGTGGTAGGGGGTCCAGCAGACAAAAAAACCCACCACCACGGCCATGCCCAGGGGCCAGCGGTGTCGGGCCGCGTGGCACAGAAGGGACCCGTGGCAGCTGGCCACGACCACCAGCGGCCCCAGGAAACCAAAAACAAAGCGGGTGGCGGTCACCGTGTTCTCCACCACGGCGGAGCCTCCGTAGTCCACCACACACTCCAGCCGGCGAGGGAAACGCTCCTGGTGCAGCCGGCGGTAGATGGCCGAGGGCACGGTGAGCAGCAAGGCCACGGTCCAGGCGACCCCGCAGGCTACCTGCACCCTGCGCGCCCGCCCCGCCGCCGCCCCCCAGCTGGGCCTGAGGGCCAGCAGGCAGAGGTCGGCGCTGAGAGCGGCCAGAAGGAGCACGCTGGCGTACATGGACAGCAGGATGCCCGAGGGCAGGGCCCGACAGCCCGCCGCCCCGTACGGCCAGTGGCCCCCGCGCGCGATGGGCACCGCCAGGAGGGGCAGAGACGCACAGCAGAGCAGATCCGCCACGGCCAAGTGGAGGAACCAGGTGGCGCCGACCCTCTGGCGGGCCTCTTTCCAGGTCACCCAGGCCACCATCGCGTTGCCGGGCACGCCCACCAGGAAGACCGCGGCGTACAGCAGGAACGGGGCTGTGTGCAGCAGGTCGGTGGAGACGCAGGTGCCATCCACGCAGTCCACGGGGAGATCCGGAACCCAGTCGTAATCCCCATACTCGTAGTGGAGAGAAGTGTTCTCCATCCAGGCCCCAGACACCTGAACGGGAGAGAAATCGTGGAAGCTCCTTGACGAAACCCTCAGGCCCCTGAAATCCCCGGGGTGTGGGAACCCCCACTAGCCGCTTGGACGCTGGACTGAGACAGCTTCCGATCTCCAGTGCATCCTAATATCGGAATTCTAGAAGACTACCATCCTAGAACTTGCTCAGGAGCATCCTGGAATTAGAGAGTAGTGCCACGTCAGAACCCCAGCAGGTTAGAATACTGGAATTCTAGAATACCAGAGTGTGAGAACACTAGCTCATGAGCATCCTGGAATTCTGGAATATTACAATGTTGGAACCCAAGCTTACTTGCATCTAGGAATTCTAGAATATTGCAATGTAGAAAATGATCGTGATTAAAAACTATATATTTTAGGGGCGCCTGGGTGCCTCAGTCGGTAAGCGTCTGCCTCCGGCTCAGGTCATGATCCCAGAGTCCTGGGATCGAGCCCTGCATCGGGCTCCCCGCTCAGCGGGAAGCCTGCCTCTCCCTCTCCCACTCCCCCTGCCTGTGTTCCCTCTCTTGCTGTCTCTCTCTCTCTCCGTCAAATAAATAAATAAATAAATAAAATCTTAAAAAAATATATTTTGGAATCTTAAAACATTATACTATTAGAACCCCAGCCAATTATTATTTGGAATTGTAGGGCAGCTCTGTGTGACCCAACATTCAGCGTTGATGGAAATGTTCTTTAAAAAAACAAAAAAACAAAAAAAAGATTTTATTTATTTATTTGAGAGAGAGAGAGCGTGCGAGAGCACAAGCAGGGTGAGGGGCAGAGGGAGAAGCAGACTCCCCACCGAACAGGGAGCCTGATGGGGGGCTGGATCCTGAGAGTCTGGATCATGACCTGAGCTGAAGGCAGACGCTTAACCAACTGAGCCACCCGGGTGCCCCTAGAATTTAAAATATTGGAATCCAAATATCCATCAAGAGGGGGAAAGGTTAATATGTATTGACAGCAAAGGCCCTGAGGTGAGAACATGGTGGTCATGTTCAAGGAACAGCAAGGATGCCAGTGTGGCTGGAGTGGAGTAGGGAGGCAGGAGAAGGGGAAGGTAAGAACAGAAAGATATCATGGACCATGGGGCACACTGTGAGGACTTTATCTTTTATTCCACGTGAGATTGGGGCCACATGAGGGTGCTGAGCTGTCAAGCGACATGATCTATCACAGCAATAGCAATAATAATAATTATTATATATATTATAATATTATTACTATGATAGTAATATAATGTTATAATATGTAATATATAGTAACATTACTACTATAATATTAATATAATAATATATAGTAATATTAGTAATATATTAATATAATAATATAATAGTAATATACTAATATATATCATATATATTCGTATTGTCTACTAAATATATCACATAAATATTATATATTAAATATTAAATAAATACATTAATATATATTTTATATTATGGATAAACATACTATATATTAAGTATATATAATAATATACTATATACTATATTACATATAAATATATAATAATATACATATACTATATATAATATAATATCTAAATATATAATACCAATATAATTAGTAATATAGATTAATATATTAATACATTATATAGTGATACAATAGTTATTTTTACTTTTATAATATAGTAATATTAATATATAATTATATATTATTATTACTTAGTATTATTATATTAGTAGTATTAGTATCAGGAGCCACCATCCACTGAGCACTTTGTGTTATGTGTTGGGCATCGCTCCAGGTGCCTTTAAATCTTATATCATTTGATCCTTATAACAACCCTCTGATTCTAACACTATCCTTTTACCCATACTATCATTGTACCCATTCGGCAGACAAGAAAACCGGGGCCCAGAGATGTAACTTACCGAAGATCATTCAGCTAAGCAAGTAACAGAGCTGAGTTTTGAACTGTGTCAGCCCCACTCTGGAACTCTGGGCCCTAGAGTGCATTCACCCAAAAACCTTAGATTCAGGAGACAGAAGGCAGCACAGCCGGTGGCCCTAAGCAGACCCAGGCTCCGTAACTCAGTTTCAGTTGGCTCTCTCTTGGTTTCCTCATCTGAGAAATGAGTCACCGAGGTGAACCTACCTCACGGGGTTTAGGGGAGGCCTTGTGAAGTTGACGTGTGATGAAGCACGTGGCTCAGGTAAAGGGCTCGGGTGGATGGTAGACCATCCCCCCTAACGTCAGCATGACCTGCCCCTGAGGCTCTCTGCTGGCTCTCATGGGCACTCCCCAGAGCTCTAGCTGGCATTGACAGCAACAGGAAAAGCAGAGGGGAAGTTGGAGTGTTGCCCTCTGCCTCCTCCTCCCTGCCAAGTAGTTGCCAAGAGGCCCAGCCACTTTGTGTGTGTGTGTGTGTGTGTGTGTGTGTGTGTGTGTGTTTGGAGTTTGGCATGCTGCTTTCATATTATTTTCATCACTAGAGTAAAAGGTGTGTAGCTTTTAAAAATTCAAACCGTCACCAGCTGTGTGACCTTGGGCAAGTCACTTCACCTCTCTGTTCTTCAGCTTCCTCGTCTGTAAAATGAGAATACTACTATTCCTACCTTAGAGGTGTCACGAGCATTCAATAAGCAAATCAGAGTGGAGAGCTGAACTCAGTGCCTGGTCCACAGTGAGCACTAGCTGTGTGGTAGTTGCTGGTACCTGCTGGTACGCGTGCCCTCTCTCCCCACCCTCAGACCCCACCCTGCCCAGCTTTTACTGGTCAAAATCTGGGAAATCTTCTGCATGTTGGCAGCTCAACCAACTGTGGTATTTCCCTTTGAATATATCAAACAGAAATGCAACATCTAACAGCCACTGTGTCATCTCTTTATCTTTTCCATGTAATGAATGTGTTTTCCATCTGTTTCCCTATCTGCACACACATCAGCCCTTTCCTACAGCAGCTTGAGTATCAGCCCGCTGGCTGGATGGGCCGTGCTCAGACTGTAAATAAAAGATATTTAAAGATAATCACGAATAGCCTTATTATTTTATCCTCATTTTGTACAGTAAATTAGATTCATATAAAAAACAATGAATTATATTCATATGGTTATGTATATACAAAACATAATTACCATCATCATCATTATTATTTTATAACAATTAAGATAGCAGATGACATTTATCCAGCATCTATTATGCACCGGGCATAATCCTTATGACAACGGTATGAAGTAAGAACTATTGTTATGCCCCATTTCCCAAACCGTCAGCTACTTTGGGCTGCACCATCTCCCCAGCGTCTAGAATGGCACCTGGCAAAACTCAGGCACTTTGTTGGTATTTGGTGAGGAAAAGAATAAAGAGGGAAACTGAGGCACAAAGCAGCAAAGGGGACACTTAGGTTTCTTTCGGTTCCTTAAGCTCACAGGCACCCGTGTGCATGCTCTTGGCACGTGTGTGTTCGTAAATCAGCTAGTCTTGTCAGAACTTCTGCTCTGGGGACCCGTGGGGCTGAATTGACTTAAACCGAACATAGGATACTTCACCCCTCCCCCCAGAGAAGCACACATATGCTCATCAAAAGACGTGTGCCAGGAAAGACATGTTCACGGCAGTCCCTGATGGGAAACCGCCCAAAAAGTCACCCCAAGGGGAATGAATAAACATACCATGGTATGGGGGGCCTGGGTGGCTCAATCGTTAAGCATCTAACTTCGGCTCAGGTCATGGTCCCAGGGTCCGGGGATCAAGCCCCGCATCAGGCTCCCTGCTCCGCGAGGAGTCTGCTTCTCCCTCTCCCTCTGCCGCTCCCCCTGCTTGTGCTCTCCTTATTTTTATTTATTTATTTGAGAGAGAGAGAGAGCATGAGAGGGAAGAGGGTCAGAGGGAGAAGCGGACTCCCCACCGAGCAGGGAGCCCGACGTGGGACTCGATCCCGGGACTCCAGGATCATGACCTGAGCCGAAAGCAGTCGCTTAACCAACTGAGCCACCCAGGCGCCCTAAATAAAATCCTTATTTAAAAAACATAGCATGGTATATTCATGCAGTGGAATATTCAATAGCAGTGAGGATGAACAAACCACACACACGAATGTGGATGGATTTCATACATATACTGCTGAGGGGAAAGAGGCAGACAGACACGCAGGGGAGGTGACTGAGTGACACCATTCACATCAAATTCAAAAACGAGCAGAAGAGTTCTGTGGGGGGTGGGTAGCGACTGGGGGAACAGGAGGGCACATCGGCACTAGGCTTGTGCTCTTCCTTGACCCGGGTCCTCAGTACCTGTGCACACTTGGCTCGTGGAGATACACAGAGCTTCCCAGCTCTGTGTGTGTGTCTGTTACCCATGAAAATAAAGTTAAAGCTTCTTTCTTCAGAAGTGGAATTGGAGGGGTGCCTGGGTGGCTCAGTTGGTTAAGCGTCTGCCTTCTGCTCGGGTCATGATCTCAGGGTCCTGGGATCGAGCCCCACATCGGGCTCCCTGCTCGGTGGGGAGTCTGCTTCTCCCTCTCCCTCTGCCTCCTCCCTCCTGCTCATGCTCTGTTTCTGTCTCTCTCTCTCTCTCAAATAAAGAAATAAAATCTTTTTTAAAAAAAAAGTGGAATTGGTGAATCAAAGGGCTAGTTCACTGGACAAGTGGCCATTGGGTGAATTATCCAGAAACTGCTGGGGTTCCTGGAGTTTGGAGAATCGTCCTTTGCTCTACACCTGAGTGTGCCAGATATGTGGACCGTTTGACCAAAAGCTTTCTGTTGGGCCGCCGAAGTGAATTCCAAGAGCCTGGAATTCCAATGTAATGGTGAAAAGATCACACCTCTCAAATTCCCGTTTCTGATTCCCAGATTCTGAAAAGAATTAGCCTAGAAAGCCAAGATGGCCAAATGCCACCCTCCGTCCTTCCCTCCCTCCTTACCGGCTCTTGTAAGAGGATCCTCATCTTGACCAGATGCCACTCGGAAGCCTAATCCGGGCTCACAGCCAGGACCCGGGCGGTCTAGGGGTCTCTCCCGGCGTCTGGC